TATGCTTTTTTCCCCTTGTTATGTCTGTAGCTGTTAGATAAATGTTGTCTGACCATGTTTAGTTCATTCTGCTCCATTTTTCCACTTACAATTTGCATAGTAGATTCTGTTCTTTTACATTTGTTTCAAAAATACCGTATTGAAGTGTAGAAATGTAAATGTTCTCATTCTGACTTACAGCCTAAGCAGCTGAGCAAACTAAATAAAAAGCTCCTTTTACAGCAGCTATTTTGTGGGTATTATGCAAGATGTTCTGTGCTTTGATATAACAGCTCCTAAAGAAAGTGTATTGCAACATGAATTTATAGCAAAACTTTATGCATTTAGTCTGGTAAAACATGTTGGGGGTGGGGAAGAGAGCAAGCTGTTGTAAACTCTCTATAAAGTACAGAAAACTTCTACTTTCCCTCCTTTCTAACAAGTGTAAACTATTGAGGTTAAGTAGGTGGGGCAACCGGAAGTAATTACTAAGGCCAGTGGCATTTTTGCGGTTTAATAAAGGCAGAAGCTAATTATTCAGTTTTTATTTAAGTGAAATGATGCCAAAAAGGAGGTTCCTGCAGAGCAGCTGCACTCCTTCAGTATTACCCTAATTTACCACAGACACAACTGTCACAAACAGAACTTTTAAACTTGATATATAGCCACGAAAGTAAGGAGCCCTTTGTCTGGAGTGCATGCAGAAGAACTCCTTTATACAAATCAACCGGCAGATGACGGACAATGATGAAAATTTGATTCTTTGAAGTCATAATGGTCATTGAAATGTGTGAAATTCTGGTATTGAAAAGAAAGCGGCTAGCAAGACTCTAAATCCTGGGTGGTTGCTGGAAGCTTGCTGGGAGGTTTTTCTATGTTTTGACATCAACTTCCCATTGCTTGTTCCCTGTTTCCTTTATTAAAAAAAAAAGGGGGGGGGTGCTAAACAGTAGATAGTTGATAGCGGTTATGTACAGTTTTTGTCTATGCGTGGAAAGAAATGTCATAGGAGAAACATGACACCTTTATGCGCACCTGACCCATCTATTTAAAAACACTGGTTTTCAGAGATACTTTCAATCATTTTGTCTCTTTCCCATGAATTACAGAGTTCCATTGCTTGTCCCCTTTGGAATTTGTGCTATTAATGGAGTACTTAAAAGAAGGAAATTCTCATTTCATCTTCATGCCGAATACTGCTTTCATTGACACTTCCTTTGTGAACCAGTTTTTCTCCCTGCTGTATAGCACATGTATTGTTTCTTATTACTCTTTCCAGAACAGCTTTACCAGGCTTTCCACCATGACAAGTGTTCTTAAATAGTTTAAGTTATAATAAAGACAAAACCTCCTCTTCATTTGTAAGCAATTTGATGTGATTTCTGCAGCTTAAAAAAAGTGAGTGTTTGTCCCTCTCAACTTATGCCAAGAGGAGCCAAAATGCCTCAAAATGAGTATTTTAATTTTTTTTAATTACAAAAAAATTCAGAGGTTGCTGTTAAAAAAACTCCCTCTCTGTATATTAAGAAAAACAGAATGTCAGAATGCACCTTTTAGATGATGCCCTGTGTTAAAAATGTGAAGCAGGGTTTTTAATTTTTAGTAAAGCAAACCTATACAGTTCAAATCTCAAGACTTTTATATTGTCACCTTATTATTTAGAATTTTGAATGCCGAACACCTCACTAATATTTTAATATGCTAATATAGCAAAATTCAGTAAGGAACACTTTAAAAAAAAAAAGTTAAACCAGCTGTCAAAAACATCTTTGTTTTGGAAAGTTGGTTCACAGGTAGTTTCGATGAGAATTTGAACTCGGAACAAAGCACTGAAGACACAGTAAAGAGTTCAATCCAGTGCATAGTTCTTTTCAAGTATTATATTGTTTTAATGGCATCTTGGAGCGGGAGCTTTAGCCCATTGAAATGTCGCTTAAAGGACAGGTTCTTCTGTCACTAGCTGGAGCTGTGTGGATGAAATGATCACAATAGAGTGTTGTAATGCATTTTAAAAGTGTGAGAAATCAGTTTGTCTAGACTAAGAGTGCGCCTACAGGGAATAGGAATTTTAGAGCTTCTGTGCTCTTTAGGTGTCAAGTATGTGATAGATGCCAAGCCTTTTTATTCCATATCTTTGGCAACAGCTCAGCTATGCTACAGTACCTTACATGTCTACAGCAAGCAAAAACAGTGATTTTATGTCAGGACAACTTGGGCTTCAGAAACCAGAAACTCATTGTCCTAACTACTGTCTGTTCAATTGCCAGCTTTAAAATGGGGAAGATATCAATAAACAATTGCTAGATTCCCAGAAGGCATGGAAACTTTAGCTATAATCAATCAAAGTATGAAGAGCTAGCAACACCATGTAGATATTTTAGTTTCGGAAAATAGGCAGGTTTTAGTTTTCACCTTGGAAAGATTTTTATGGGATGAATCCTATATTATTAGTGAAATAACTTTGATTTGAAGCCAACTGAGTGCCCGAAAAAACATGGCTTGAAGGGACTTATGGTTTGTTTGGGATTTTGGTGTTATTTTCATCCAGATGAACAAGTCTAGGCATTTCTTTACTATGTTACCTCATAAATATAGCATTTGCTGGTTTTTAATAGTCTTTTCAGATTGTGTTCTGTATGCACTAATGTGTAGTATTTTTATGATTCTCTGGTGTGGAGGCTTCAAAAGAGGAAATTGTGTATGTCCATAATGTTATTTAACATAGTATCTTATTTTAATAATTCCAGATAATTCTGGAACAACTAAAAAACCTCTAAATCTGAAGCATAAAATTCATAATGGACATATGAGTTGCTGAGAATAGTAACAGTAAAAAAAATAGAAAATTTTGAGCTATTTTGAAGCTTGCATATTAGGAGGTATTTGATGATAACAAACCCAGAATTTTTGCATGTAGCAGATTATTTCAGAGGGGAAAAAGAAATTTTTGTGAATATTCTTACATTTCTCAATAGGCATGTTTGTTAAATGCAGAAATAAAGGCTAATATAGTAGCCTATTCCTATAAACAGGCAAGCTGAAACATTGAAGCCCCACCAAACTTTACTGCGGGTAAAAACCCCTTTTTGTTAAACAAAGCACTTTGCCAATTCAAATAAGAAAACTTCAAGCTATTTCCTTCTAAAACTGTGGTTTAAGCTTCAGCAGTCAGAAATGCCAGTCTGTCAGGAGGTGTTTTACATACGTGTTGCAACATTCCAGTGACTGGTAGTGTTTCTTTTTCATATCACTGCTAGACTCATATTAAACATAAACATTACTTGGTCCTAATGAAAGCATTTATAATGGAGTTGTTAAGATATTTTGACAGTTTCTTTTGGTAGTCTGGGTAGAAATGTCAGAAGTTGGAAAATTAGTGTGCATGCTTGTTTGTTTCCCCTGCTGTTCTAATTGCAAATACAAGTCAAATGCTTTAAATCTGCTCCCTTGTGTAGTTTTGAGGGACTGATCTCCCAAAATTTATTTTCTGAAGTAAAACGAAAAATGAGACTTGCCTCATTTCAAAGGGTGATCTGATGACAGCACCAAGACCTTTTAAGTTTGCCACAAATAAAATCCCATAACGTTAGTAGCTACAGACATGTAAAGCCACAGTGTTTTATTTAAACTTGTTTGCCTTTTAATTCAAGTCATGGCAGTACTGGTGAGATGAGTTTAATATGCCCAAAGTTTTGCTGCACTTTTTTGGACTTTTACCAGTTTACTATTTGAAGAGAGGAGGGGAGGGGAGAGCAGGGAGGGAGACCAAGGAGCTCCCACTGGCCTTTTAAGTGTGTAAGGAACAGGAGCAGTTTAGCATCCTTAGAGATGGATTTGATCTTTGATTTCACTCTTTACTCTACGAGGGTGAACTGACAGGTTAATTTTATGTAATTACTGTTTAGTTTTTAGCAAGAAAGTTCACTTTGATTATATCAGATGCTGCTGAGGGTAATTTTTCACAGCAATTCTTGTGAGGTTTTTCACTATCTTATTCTTTGTTAAAGTCAGTTAATATATTTAGGCTGGTTTCGTGATCTTTCAATTTTTATCTTTGTTAGGTTTATTTGTTGAAGGTTCACAAGCCAAGCCTTAGTATCCTATTGCTGACTATATACAATGTTACAAGCCTTTTTTTTTCTTTGAAGGTTGGAATCTCCTGAATCCTTTTGTCCTTCACAAAAATACCGAAGAATGTTACCAGTATCAAATGTTCCTCTCTTGATCTTTAACATCAACAGAAGAATTGACTCTCAAAATCTGATATTCATAGCTTAAGACACGACGAGGGCATCAATTTTATGTAATAACTAATGATTAGAGAAATAAGAGAGCTGAATTCTAGTACCTGCTCTGCAGTCTCAAACAATCAATAGATAATTGTGCAAAAGATAACCTTCTGGCTCTTCCTTCATGCTAAGCGTAGCTTCTTGAGTCAGCGTGGATGTTGGTGCCTCTTAATTGTATACATGCTTAAGCCCAAGTGAAAGCACTTACACTGCAGCACGTAGTTGGCTGGCTAGGATTTTGGTGAATAAACTTCATATGAAGTTTAGGCTCCTAATGGTAATATAAAATTTCAGGGATTTGTTGATGTTTCAGTCTGTGCTCTAATATTTTCTTTAAGGGACAAAGAAGAGTTTATACATTTCCACATTTGCTTTAGCTGGTGCAAGTTGGAGCAGTCCTGACTTTACTGCTGTGGTCAGAGGATGGGAGGGAATGTCTTGTCCCTTCTCTGCCACTAGCAGTTGTGTAGCTGAGAGATGAGCAGGTTTAGGTAACAGGTCCATGCAAAATCTAATTCAGCCAGGGGAAGCAGGATGATAGCAGCCCCAACATGTATCAGCTTCACTTTTATACAACTGGACTCATAACATGCTTTTCTGCAATTTTTTTCTTTTTTTGTAACTTAAAAAATAAAAATAAAGCATGAAATTATGTGAAAAGCACAAGCAGTATTATCTTACAAGCCTTTTATGCGAACCCTTTTTTAACAGGTTCCATTGTGTTTTTCATAGGATATCACCGCTTTAACTGGCGTTCCAGATGAGCACATCAAAACCAGAAAAGTTCACATTTTTGTTCCAGCACGTAATGCAATGCAGGCAGGAATTAACAATACAAAGAAATGGAAGATGGAATTTGATAACAGGGAGCGCTGGGAGAACCCTTTAATGGGCTGGGCATCTACGTGAGTAGTTACTGAATTTGGAAATACTTGTCTTCTATATGTGGCTCTTACTAGTCATGTAAATTTTAAGTTTGAAATGTCCTTTCTACCTGTAAATCTACTTGTGTTTTAACAGTACTTACAATAAGTGGTTGGGATTGTTAGTCATATGATTAATGATCTGTTATGTTTAAAAGTAGATTTTAGCTCACGACATCATCTGGAAGAGTTTGAAAAAAGTGTTAAAAACCAGAAATTCCAATGGTTACATTTGTGGTGATGTTACTGTATGGCAGCATCAGGAAAAGAAGGTTATTAGTTACCTGAAGCAGTAAATCTTTCTCAGCTCTCAGTTGCATCTTTTAAATTTGATTAAACATAAAGTAACAATACTTAGCTTCTGGAGGTTTTTTTTTTTTACAAAGTTTTACAAATATCCTGAAGATCTGAAATGAGGAGCCATAACTAATTCAAAAAAAAAAAAAAAAAACTATTTAAAATATTACACTGTTTGTTTCAATGTTGCAAATATTAGTAGTAAAAACTCTTTAAAAGGCCAAAATCCAGAACAGTACTAATCTTGGCTAAATACGCTATAATTTGGAGATGTAAGTATAACTTGGATGCAGCTAATTTTTATTTCTTTTTTCCATATATAAATATACTACCAACATTTTACAGTGTGATTGGAATTCCTGTAAACGGTGAGGACTATGCCAGCAATTCTTCTGACAATATCGTAATTTTGATTTGAAGCTGTCTTGTTTGAGGCATATTCAGAAAAGTTAATTGTTTTACATGAACAAAAATCAACCACTAGAGATTATTTTTCAAACTTCGAAGAGGATGCAATGTGTATTGAAAATGTCTGGCTGTATTAGCACTTACGGTCAAAGAACACAAAATTCTATGAAAAAAACTTTAAAACCTTAAATATGAAATAATTTGAGGATGCATTTTTTGAAATTTATTAACATTCTAAATCCGGTCACAGAATGATTTTTTTTCTTGTATTTATTTATAAAATAAATGTATCCAGAAATATTAGTTCAAAATAATACTGAAAACACATCTTCCCGATATGTTGGTTTCCCATGAAAAATTGAGGAGCCTCACAACCTGTGACATCTCAGTTGTATTGGTGTTGAAAGCATTAGGGAAGCCAAGCTCAACTATAATTAGACAAGAAAAAATACTGAATATGAATTAAAATATTAATTGTATTAAAATAGTCTGTTAAAATACCTGTTTTAAAACTTTAAGCCTGTATATAACAATGACGTCATCTTAAGCACGGCCTGGGGTTTTTCACCATTTCATATTAAGCATATTTAAATTGCTGTTTCAGAGGATAAGATTTCAATGGTTTAATATATATATGCCCTGAATGACTCAACTACTGCAAGTACCTACTACATTTAGCAAGTAATGACCAGGTTGTTACATTAATTAAGTGATAGACTGTTGACCAGTAATAAACTTTTCCCTGCTGTCTTGTGTGCCCCCCAAGTGTCCAGCCACTAAAGTATGGTCTATTTATACCCCTGCACAGACTGTAACACCGTAGCAGGTGCCAGTAATACCCGCTTTAGTTCAGGTTGGATTTAACTTTTCTCCTAATCCCCTTTGCTTTTCAGCTGACTTTAGCCTCCCCAGACGAGTTATTTTCTGGGTGGGATTTTGCATGATCTCAGCCAAAGCAATGGCTTTTAACCTTTCTAACAGTTATAATCATTTGTGCTCAATAAACCACCTAGAAAAATGAACCATGGTATTAAGGGCTTACCTGTATGTTAAATTGTCCTGGAGTGAGCTTATTGTGGGCATTTAAAAAGGAATGGCTGTTCTGAATGAATCCATTTGTGCATCTATTTTTATTTACGGGTAGGGAAAGGTATATTTCCTATGTAAGCAAGCTCCAGGTAGGCCAAAAGCAAGTGTTGAGAGTTGACACTGCTAGGTTAAGTGTTTTGTAAACTAGTTTTATCTGTTGGTTTTTTAAGGAATTCTCGCAAAAACTATTAGTAGACATTCTGGTAATTTCAAATTACTGTTCAGCATCCAGAAATACCTAAGAAGAGTTTCTTTTCTGATTTAATTTCTGCGAAGAACAGTTCTTAGAAGTTTTCCCATTTACTTTTGAGTAATGTAATGGGATTAGTGGATTAGAGCCCTTTAGGGTCTTGGAATTAGAGCCCTGTTCCTCTGAACTCAATATACTTACTTACCTATAGGTCTTTGCTATATTTCTGTCATTTTACGGTCTCGTTTGCTTTTTTTGTTGCGTTTGTTGTTTCTTGGATATAGTTTTTTTAGTGAAAATTATCCAGTTGTAGATCTAAATAAAATGGACCTAGGACATTTTTTTTTTTTAATTGGGAGGTTTCATTAAAGGAATGCCTATGGATGGTTCTTGAATACGTCTTTTAATATAAAGCTGTAAACAAAGAAACATGGGAAATGTATGGTTTCCATTGTACAAGATCTCATAAGAGAACAAAATGCAGAGTCCCAGTTTGTAGTGACTGATGAAACAGTTCAGGGCAGGCACAGGAAAGCCTGCAGCACTGCTCTTGTCCTGACACTATCAGGACATCGTGCTGGCCATCCTGAGCTCCGGTTTGCTCACAGATTATCACAGACTGAAACACATGGATAGCTCATTTATGGAAAGAAATCAAAAAGCTGTATTTAGAATGGATGAAAGGTGATTCCACATGAAAACAGAACAAATCATTTCTGCACAATCCTCATTTCCAAACTGCCTCTGTCCTGGAAGGTTTCCACCAAACTTGCAGTACTGGACAGGCACCAGTCTCTCACTACGCTTCAGACTTAAACTTCTTTGTTCCCACTTAGTAGCGTTGAGAAGATTTTTCCAACCCCAGTCATGGAAGAGAAGAACGATAAGCAAAAGTTGTCACAATATTGCGGTATATTTGGGTCACTTGATTCTTCACTGATACGTCATGGGCCAATTCTTAGTTTCGAATTCTCCTTACTGCCTTTATAAGAGAAATCTTTAAATGTCTTTAAGAGACCGCAGCTTAGTGGCTTGTGAAAGTGAAATTTCTGCCTTTATCCTGTTTTTTTGTTTGTTTGGGTTTTTTTATTGGGGAATATATTGGATACATAGTGAACTCCATTTTTCCATGTGTACATGAGATAAAATTACATTGTTGTCTTTGCTGGAAGCTAGATTCCCCCTCTTCCCCTCCCCCTCTGCCAGTCACAGGCTTTGTCCTTTATTGTAGAGAGTTCAGTGTATCTTTGGTTGCTTTTTCTCTTCATTTACCATTCTAGCTTCGAAGGGAGAACAGTTGAGAGGCAGCTCCTTCAATAGTTTGTTGCAATTTGGTCGTCTTCCCAGTTGTCTCCCAAGCTCGTGCAGTGTTGTCTCAGGGAAGCATTATCTAATCATTGTGCTGCTACAGCCGGTATATCTTATTTCTCTAAAAGTTTTGTAGATAAATTTTTAGAATGCTATTTTTTTATCCTTGTCATTGTTTTTAAATTGAGCTTTTATAGCAACAAATAAGGCAGCTTAAGAGATTTTAATTTGTTTCAAAAAGCTTTTTGCTGTTTGATTCCTTTCAGAAATGCAGTTGAGCAATAGCTGATCATCTAAAACTAACCACTTTATATTTGATTAGCTAGCAGTTTGCCTTTGTGAGCTTCGTTTTCAGTGGTGGCCTCGATCTACTTGCTGTACTGGAATAATTTGTGGAAGTCATGTGACCTCAGCCAAAGCTGAACTCTTGAGGTTTTTTACGTACTTTTCAGTCTCTGATTAATTCCTGCTCTGCTCATTTGGATATTCTGCTCTTTTCTATGTAAGATTATTCTTCCCCTAGCTGCTCTACAGACTCCTGGTCTCCTTGAAATGTTCAAAATTACCTTAAGACTCCTGATCTTCCAAAAAGAGAGGGACTACACAGCTTTAAAAATTAAGAGGATTGTTGCAGAGCACTTACTATAACCTCAGCAGGTGGTTAGACATGTTTGTCTAATAAAAAACTTAAAACAATTTCTGCAAGGAGTTGGGAGGGAAGTTTAACAGACTGAAAGAGTGAAACAATACTCTGCAGAAAGTAAGCGTAATCCTGGAAATAATTAAAAATAAAGGGATTTTGAATGGCTTGTGAGGTGGTGTACTACAAAAAGTTGTGTAATACAGCATTTAGCAAGCATGTGAGATACAGATATAATTGTTTTGTATTTCAAATGTGCTTAAAATTTGTCATCTGATTTCTTACAGAGCTGATCCTTTATCCAACATGGTTCTTACTTTCTCTACTAAAGAAGATGCCATTGCCTTTGCTGAAAAAAATGGTACGTATTGTACGTATTGGGTATGAGGGATTCAGCTTTCTATAGGCAATCTTGATCTCAAAGTATTAACAGCAGAAAAAGTACAGGATAAAGTACCTTCCCTCTATTCCACAAAATTGATAGACCATTAGTGCTCTACTTGAGGAGGAGAAAACCTGGGGGGAGTATTTCCAAGGGTGCTGAAGGTGTTGAATCTAGACCTTCCACTTTCTGGAAAAGTGTTCTAGCCTCTTAGCATTACTTGCTATGCTTTTGCAAGTATCTGTGTTTTGAATGAGAACTGAGCCTTACTCAGGTCTTGGAGGAAACTGTAGTATTAATGCTTTATCTTTAAGAGTATCCCAGGCTGGGAGTCCCAGCTACATGGCAGTGGGATTTTTGCCTGAAGGCTTGACATAGGCACCTGAATTCTGGTTAAGGAAAGACTGTCAGAACCCTTGTGAATGTTTGTTAATCAGAAAAACTAAAATTAAGTGACTACCAAGTAAACACGTTGGACTTTAGTTTTGGCCATGTTGCAGAATGGATTTATCGTAGAATCATAGAATGTCTCAAGTTGGAAGGGACCCTGAAGGATTATCAAGTCCAACTCCCTGCTCCTTGCAGGACTACCTGAAACTGAACTATATGACTAAGAGCATCATCCAGACGTTCCTTGAACTCTGACAGGCGTGGTGCCATGACCAATTCCCTGGGGAGCCTGTTCCAGTGACCGATCACCCTCTTGGTGAAGAACCTTTTCCTAATGTCCACCCTGAACTTTCCCTGACTCAGCTTCATTCCATTTCCTTGTGTCCTGTCGCTGGTCACCAGAGAGAGGAGATCAGCACCTCCCCCTCCGCTGCTCCCGTGAGGAAGTTGTAGATTGAGGAAGTTATACCTAACTATTCCCAAGTACAATACTAAAGTCTAAACACTTACACTTGGTGATTGTTCATATTTGAGAAAAAGGCAGTAGAAAAGCCAGTATCATTACTTAATATTTTTAATGCTAATGGTGTATCAGAAGGACTGTATCTGTAAACTTATTTGGTTATTTAGGCTTGTATTTTCTGATGGAATTATGGTACCGCAAGCAGTATCCATAATCTCAGCCTTTTGAATATTCAGCAGTCCTTCTATGTGTTAGTACGAATTTTTCGCTGCATTTTTGAGTTTTTTTAAAATCAATTTCACTTTCCTTAAAGAGCTAGTCTTGATGCTTGGTGCTCACGGATGTGAGGAAGATTAATTGCACTGAGTTAAAGCCAGGAATAATGCACATGGAGTGTGTATTCTGACTTCTTCAGAAGTCTTCCCTGTGGTCTACCACTTTCAACTATATTTCGTCTGGGGTAAAAAGTAAAGTTTCTTGGCCAGACTAAATTGTGCAAAGTTGTTAGATGGCTTATGTTTTACACCCAAAAACCAGGATAAGTCCATTAACTTATACAGTTAAGAAGCTAAACCATTTAATGTGCAATTTATTTTAATGGTAAAGACTAGGATTTAATTCCTCTATTCCTCTTTGAATGGATCTTTTTTTTAAATTAATAGTCTTAATTTTATTGAAAAATAAATTGTATTCACTAAGAAATTAATAGGATCATCATATTTGCATTGGATATACCAATTACTGTGCAGTTTTAATAGTATTTTGTAATGTTTTATGAACAAATATGGAATTTGGGAGAATCTGGTGTTGCTTTACTTATGCTTCTGTATTGTTCGTGCTATTTCTATTTCTTGGGAAATTCAGCCTATAAGAGAAAAAAACTGAATCTTGGCCTATATATCACTGTATTAATGAGCTACTTATGTCATCTCTTTGGACATGTTGTATTTTTTTCTTTTGAAATGCAGATTCAAGTAAGATATTTGATTTGTTCAGTGTAGAAAGTTTATGCCTTCACTGAATTAGTAATGAATCTCCATTGTGTGGGAAAAACTACGAAGAAATTCTACCAAGTAAACTAAGGCTGTGACTTAGTATTTAATATTATTAGTTCAATATTCACTTAGCTTGCAGCCTTAATTTTAACATAATAGAGATGTACCAAACTTCTCTGTGGATACTGACTTGCCTAAATTATTATTCCGTTTTATTTAAGGTGGCTTAGTTTTAGGCGTGTGATATGTGCATAGTATTTTCTGTGGTAGTAGCTTCAGTATCAGATGTAGCTGGAAATACAAATTTCACAATATTTAGTTCTGCTTTTAGAAAGAAACTTAGGCACACGTTTACAATGGAACTTAGCTTCTAAACTGAGGTGTTATTGAAAGATCTCTAAGTCTTTACCTCTCTGTCCTTCCCGTATGAACCACCCAAGTTTTCCATTACAAAATTCCTTAAGAACCTCAAGTTTGGTTTCTGCAAATACTAGATATTGCAGGTATTTTGATACGATTGGGAAACCTAAGAGTTCTTTCTCACCTAAGAACTTCAGGAGCATGAGGCAAGCTATCTTTCTGCCTGCCCCATGTGATGTGTTTTCTAATGTAGGAATAACAGCACAGAGTACAGTAACGGGAGAGATCTCTGTCCAAAATACGACGGCTGAGGATCAGCCTGATCTGAAGTCAAGGCAAGGAGGAAGCACTTGTAACTGGATGAAATTAAAAGTTTAGCCCGTTGACCTAAATTCTTTTTTGTTCTGTCTGACATCACCGAGGCAGTTGTTTAAAAACATAAAACAGCGTTAGTTACAAGGATGGAGAGTATTTCTATGCCACAGTAACCTTTAGTCAGGTGGTGAGGGTGTTTTTCCAGAGACGATGAAATCTGCTTTCTATCCACTTGGCTTGTACAGCAGGGTTCTGGGCAAGAATAGCCTCCCCCACTATTGTGGTATTTTTATAAAAGTGAATTCTGCTCTCTCTCATGAACAACTGAAGGTGCCTAACTCAAGGAGACTGTTCCAGAGTGTGAAACTTTGTCACATATGGTGGCCTCTTGCAATACACAGTTAGATGTAATTAACTTTGTGGATTTTGGATAGCTATGGCAGCCCAAGTCATTGTGCTGGCAGTTGCGAATCTCTTTTGGAGGCACTTGGCTCCTCTCTATCTAGTGTATAAAAAGATGAAGCAGTGACTTGGGGCTGTAGATTCCATTCCAGCAGCCAAGTGCCTCAAAGTTAGGTGTTATAATGCTGAATGTTGCAATACCAAAGTCTGTCTCTGGATCTAGTTCTGGCTGTTTACTCAAGGTTATATTTTTAATCAGATCAGGAGGCAAAACTCAGTGCTCTCACAGATGGAAAGAATATGTTTTTAAAACATCTATTCCAGTATATCTTACGGAGAATAGTTAACTTGGAAATTAACATTGGTTCAGCCTAATAAACATGAAGAAAATGTTTGTGTGACATTTGTGAATATAAAAAATTGAGGCACAGTGACGTGACAACTTGTGTATCTTACGAAACATGTTCTGATGTGAAGATGTATCTTGAGTGTTTTCTGTAAACATCTTAAATGTAAAAATTCAGATATATGTTAAACCTTTTAGGACTTATCAAATTTTTGTTTTAAAACTAAGGGAAAAAAGTATCATCTTACTAGTATCAGTTAAAACTGCGTACTTAACCATTTCTACCTTCAAATCAAGTATCTCAACTTTGAGTGAAATGTTGCAGCTAAAGAGACCAAACTTTGGAATACTGAGTGCTACCCTGGCAACTTTCCAGGCACCTGGAGGCTGCAACCAATTTGCATTTTGATTTACATAAACACTAATGTCTCCACCTCCTCTTTTCTGACATTTTTTAGCATTTCTCTTGCTTAACTATCACATAATTTACTTGTCTTCTATCACTTCATTCCCTTTTCTTTTACTCCTAATTTTTTATGTTCTTATAAAAATGTTAAGTATTAAACTCCTTTCTAATGCTGAAGTTTTTTCTTTGCGCTTCCTTTCTTTGGTCCTCCCACCCTTCTTTTTTCTCTAGCTTTCCAAGGTCTCCATTCTCTCCCAGCCTTTGGGATTGATCTTCTGTATGCTATTTTTTTCTGTTTCCTTATGTTTATTTTCATTTCTCTCCCAGCATACACAAAGCCTTAGTGCTTCTGTGATGCTATGGAGTTGTGGAGCCATTAACTTGCAGGACAGTCAGTGTTTCCTGTTGAGCTTTTCACTGATGACTGTCAAGTTTTTTGCAGGAGTAAAGAAAATGGAGATACGTAGTATGGTGAAGTCTTATCAGCTGAGAGAATGGGCATATGTCACATCTATGGCATTTCAGTGTTCTCTGCTGCCAACTACAAAGGAATAAACTAGTGGATGCCTACGTGGAGAAAAAGATATTAAAGTTAAAAGGTTTAAGTTGCATTTGCTCTATATTGTAAGCTGAGAATATTTAGAATTCTCTTTGTTTCCTGTCTCCCCTCACCATTTTCCCTGTACCTCCAGGCTGGAGCTATGATGTTGAAGAGAAGATGATTCCAAAACCTAAATCCAAGTCTTATGGTGCAAACTTTTCTTGGAACAAAAGAACAAGGGTGTCTACAAAATAGGTTGGCATTGGCTGACTGACTGTGCATAAAGTCAGCTGTGCTATATTTATAGTCCATGTATAATACATCTCTTAATCTCCTAATAAATTTGACCTTTAAACTACAGATGCATCTTGTGATGTCTATTTAAAATGTTTTTGATGTCTCCAGTTGAACCTGTTACAAACTTCCCTATAAATAGAGGAGATTTGGAGTGTTCATACTTCTAAAAAATTGCTGTACTAGGAATCTGTCAAAAGGAATGTTTGAAATTAGCTGCAACTTTAAAGATTATGGTTTATCTTTGATGGTAATTTTATATTCACTGTCTTGTTTAAACTTATCAGCCTTGCATATACAAATTCTCTCAGTAGAGGCTGGGGTTTTTTCTTTCTTTTTCTATACAGAGAATTTTGTCAACTGAAGAGCAAAGGATGATATATAAAACATAGCATTTGAGTATAACTTAGACTATTCTGTATAAATGTTTATTACATAATCTTCTTTCTGCCCAAATTAATATTGTCATTATTCCGGAAGCATTCATGACTGGAATAGAAAGCACTGGGTTTTGTGTTGGATATTGGGGAGGTTTAGTCCAAAAGGTTGAGATTGCAATTGTTTCTGTGTGATGTTCTTCAAAAGTGAAACTAAGCCACTTAAATATTCACAAATTAAGTCAGAAGAGTGTTGCGTGCCTTACACAGCATCAGCATATACTAATTATATAATTATAGTTCTGTTTTTTTATTGCTAGTTACATGTTATCTGCATTGAGGTTTCCTATTGCCTAACAAGAGATGTGGTGATAGCATCTCAGCCTTAACATCGAATATATAGCCTAAACTCAGTTTGTCTTACATGACATTAAATCATTACTTTTAATAATAACTCTTAATATGTTTGGAATCCTTGGTTACATGTCTATGGCTTTTGATTTATTCACTTTTTCTTCAACTTTTACTTGACAAATTGAGATATCAACACATGATCAGTGAAATCTATTAGAAATTGGGGGAGTGTACACCTTTTTCATATGCAACTGAGATTTTTATCCCAACTGTCACAAAAGAAACGGTTGAGACGGCTCTCTCTACATAGATCTAAAGAATGGTATAAGTGCTATGCACTGAATTCTAGCTAAAAGAAGGCATAAAACTACCTTCTGTTCCCCAGATTTGATTATATTCTTGTTTCAGTTTTAACCAGCTCCCCTGTATGCTGGCTAATATTTGTTTAAAGCATTGGTTTTGACCCAGTTTCAGTGTAATCAACCAGTCGCTATTTTCCTATCGCAGACAAGAATTGTTACTCCAATTCATCTTCCTATTGAATTTTGAATGCTGCATCATGCAGCGGAGCCTGAAGTCCTCCAGGAATGTCAAAGTGCACGAACCTGGAATCTTAACAGTCCAGAATCTACTGCATCTCTTTCTTTTCCAGCTAAGCTTAATTTGCTGATCTTACTAAGGAGACAGTAGTAAGAAAAGCCATTCATTGTTTTTTTTTTTCTTCTGTCTTTTACAAGCGAAGAGCAGCAAGATCTTAATTTAATGGTCTATAAGATTGTCAACATTAAAATTGAAAAGTGCTTGGATACCTAATACAGCAGATGCACAGCTTGGTTTTTGAAATTACGTAGTCCAGGGAAATGACTGATAAATATTAGATAGCTAACATTACCTTTGGATACACCTAATAAATGAAATTGCTGTATGTTAATGTATACTTCTTGTAACTACAATCGGTTTCACAGAGAGCAGTTTCTTTTTTTTTGTTTCTCCTGCTAAGATAATAGAAATACTCAAAGGAGAATTTGTTAAGTCCCCTTCCCTTCCTGAGGAAGAAAGCTTTTTCTTTTTTTTTAAATGCATATGTTCATTATGATTCCGTACTGTGCACCCCACCTTGTAGTCTTTAAGTCGTGTTTGAGCCCAGACCTTCTTTTCCTCCAATCACTTTCCTGGGACTTGGATTTTTTTCTCCTGTTGGATGGCTTCTTAAGAATGAGCATGCTGACCGTGGAAGAGAGTTGATTATTGTCACTATAGTCTTCAAGCCCTACAAGTGAAATTGAGTGCAAGAGCTTGCAGAGGACCAGTGCCAACAGGAATATATTTTAGAGATCAAAAAATCTACTAGATACTAAACTTCATTACACGTTCATTAATGTATCAGAATACTACAGCACTAGGCTGGAACTGAAATTGTGCAAGATGATCTGGCCGTCTCTAGTTAAGTACCTTCAGAAGTGAAGATTTCATTGGCGAACTGCCTTTCTATCTACTCTGCAGTGTGTTATGACAGGTAAAATTGCTTCCAAATTTAGAATATGTCAAAGCAAAAGGCGCAACAGGCGAACTACCATAATTAGGTTTTTTTAGTATCCTCAACCATTGATCTGAAAATGGAAATCTAAAGAGATTTTGAGGACTCAAGGCTAATACAAATGCTGAATGAGATTAAAGATTCACCTTGGTGGTAGATGTAGCTTTGCTGCATCGAACTAATGAAAGCTTTTCATGGCAGTAATATTTCAAACCTCTGGAAGTATCAAAATCATTAATGAGGAAAGAAAAAGTTTAAAGCTCCCGAACAAACAGAACATGTTCTTTACCCAGCGGGGTTTGCATGCATCTGAGGTATCTTACCACCTTACATGGCAGTAACAACCAAAAGAGTATTAAAGAATTACGAGACAATTGCATGCCAGCATTACAGAGGAGGCTTACATAGATGTTACATTTACATTCTTTCGTTGAGCTGTGTAGATTTGAGAGGTTTTCTTTACAATTTTTTTCTTTACAGCTTCCATTATTGTGGAAAGTCTTAAAAAATTAATGGGCTGATCTGAAGTAGTTTACACTTGGACTTGTGTGATACATTGTGTGAAGTTCTGGAGGCAGAACTCAGCTCCTGGATAAAGTCCTTTCTCAGTTCTAGCAAATCAGTCCATAGTACCACCAGTTTTCTGAAAAAGGGTTATTATCTGTCATTGCTGTCTCAGCCAGCTACATGTCACAGTGAGATTTGGATTATTCTTGTCAAGTCTGGGTAAAAGTTCCTTCTTTTAAGAAAGAAAGAAGGAACATTATATTTTTTTTCCTTCCATATGCTACTGCTTTTACTCCCATCAGTTTTATCTTATGTGGCACATACCTTTTTTTTTTTTTTTTTTAAAAATGTCTCTTGACCACATGAAAATTTTCATACATGAGTTTTGAAAGGTTGGCCGCTCCAGTACTGTGATTTCTGTTTAAAATCAGGAATGTTTTGGTGAAATTTTAACTTTACTAATAAACGCCCTTTTTTTTATTTTACCCCACATTTGCATTTCCCCCTTCCTGCCACTTTTTCTCCAAGTTGCAATGAATTCTGTTCTGTTAAATGTATGCCAGTTTACATCAATTCAGTGATGAACCACAGAAAAACAAAACCCAAGCCAACCCTATTTAGCTGTCTTCTGAATGCTCAGAATGGTCCTGATTTTTATATTTTATGGTGTTCTGTTTACCTAAGCCAAATTGAAATGCTGAAAGTAAATGCTTCCCGTTCGCTTCCCGTTCTATTGCTGACTACAGATAACAGTATCTACTTTGCAGTATAGGACTTCCTACAAAATGTGGGTGCATACCTGCAAATGCTTTGATATATTTTGCATAGTTCTGTTGTGATAAAAAGACATTTGCAGGATGCCAAGTTATTTTGAAGATTGGCAGCATTCATAATTCCAATGAACAATTTTTTTATTATAACAAAGGCCCTGCAACTCTCAAAATCACGATGTTGTAATGGAACCTAAAGACTGTTAGGAAACAAAAGGCATGGTTTCAGATTTCTAGCAGTGTATTCCTTAACTGTGCAGTTTGATGGATAATTTAAAACAAATCAGACTATTAAGTGATACTATGAAATGGAAAATTTAATTACTCTTATCTGCAAAGTTTTGTCATGGTAGAAAAGGAGAAGCTAATTTGGACTAATTTTAGCTTTTGCCTGTAATTTCATACCAGGAACTTGCGTAGTTTGGTTTTGCCAGAGATACAGTTATCTGACCTTATGTTTGGTTACTAGGCATGCCAACATATTTTGTTATTCCGAAAAGAAAAAAAGGGCAAATAAAGAAACCTGAAATAACCTGAAAAAATAACTTTAGACATGTAGTATAGTAAGTTATGGTATGTCTGGTAAGGCAGCTTGCTTTGGGAAGTCGTTCTTATTCCTACATTCTGAGAGGGACCTGATTAATGCTGGAGTGTATCACCAACATCACAAGATTGCTGAAATAAATGTGCCTACAACAACTTAATAGAACAAAAAAAGGCAAATTATTTTGAAATGGTATTAAAATGTGGATTTCAGTTGGATTTAAAATACTGATTCTTCACATGCACATTCATCATGAGGGAAGGTAGAAGGGTTCCTGTCTTGAACCCCTTCTGCACAGAAAACATGAATGAAAACCTTTTTGGACAAGCTGATTAGAATAAATACAAAGGTCAGACAGTAGTCTTGTGAGAGTCCTGAAGGAATTCAAATTTGAAACTGTGTAACTATTATCTATGGCTTAAACATTTTGCTTAAAACTCTCTCTATCTGAACAACAGGTGACAGGTTTTGGTTTTTTGTTTATTGTATTTGGGGGGGGGGGGAGGTGTTTGCGGGGCCCCCCCCCAATAGTGCTGTGAACAGAGATGATATAAAAATGATGCGTCAATTTGGCTATTTTAGACGTAATTCACTTCCGTGTTCTTCAGAGGACAAGGTGATTCAAGAAGTCCATTTGGATTTACACAGGGCTTTCAAAAGGTCTGTTATCAAGTTACAGAGAGAGGGAACAGCATACTTAACGACATAAGTGTTTGTTTGAGGAGCAAATCTGTAGGGTGGAATTAGCTCTTCAGTCTACAGGAGAGAGAACTGAGGATGAGTATGGTAGTGGCCTCTAAAATCACAAGTGATGCAGAGAGTAGTGTATAATTATTCGCTGTTTTTCATACAGGGGCAGATCAACAAACTCATGAGGATGCAGATTAAAAATAAATGAGTACATTTTCACTTAGCAGATTTTGAAATTCATTGGCAACTTTTTGACTACCAAAACCAGCTTTACACTAGCTCAAATT